CACACCCCCCATCCCTTCTCCCCACCACCCATCCCTCCATCCATCCATCACCCATCCATCCGTCTGTCCATCCATCCATCCACCCATCCATTCACCCACCCTTCCACCCATCCATCCAAGCATCTCCTCATCCATCTGTCTGTCCACCTGTCCATCCATCCATCATCCATCCATCCATACATACATCCACCCACATCTGTCTGTCCACCTGCCCATCCATCCATCATCCATCCATCCATACATACATCCACCCCCTCCTCCACCCCTCCCTCCATCCACCCATCCATCCACCCATCCATCCACACATGCCTCCCTCCCTCTCTCCTTCCCTCTCGCTCCATGCCCAAGCTGTAATCCTGCCCACTTCAAATGTCAGCCGTTACATCTGTCAAAGACGATAGATGGTGGTGTAACTCCTTCAGCTTCCAAACCCAGCTTTTTTGGCTTTGCTGTCTATCTGCCATTGGGAGTGATGCAGGGCAAGAAGCCAGCAAGTGACTGCACAGGCCTAGCTAAAATGTTTCTGGACCTTGGCCTTGGAGTGGAGAGCCCTGGGACAGGGAGCGAGCCAGCCTCTCTCATTGCCTCTTCCAAATGTTTGCTTTCCACTTCCTCTTCAGCTGAGACAGAATCTGAATTTGACACTATAAGCTCCGGATAGAATTCTGTTAATCCCCAAAACATTTCACAGGGACAAAGCAGAGTAATGTGGAAGTGCACGAGGGTCACGACATCAATTTCCCTGATGCCAGATACATCTGAACTCACCCCCTCTTCCCGCTGACAACCAGCAGCTCTTCAGTTTAAGCAAACAGAAGTTTTTAAAGCTCCACTCCGTGCCTCTAAGACAAACACTTACAGGAAGCTAGGATCTAGTGTGAGTTTTGGCTTTAAGAATTGTTAATTTAAGTATTTTATTGTTGTTACAGCAAATAAGAAAATCAACGATACCCAACCCAATGAATAGCAAAAGTGCAATGCAACTTATCCAATGCAGCTGCCAAGTCAACATGACAGACAGCCAAAATGAAACAGAGGACGAGACTGTCTCTAGAAATCAGACCCAACTTGTGACAAATGTAAGAAGCCTTTCTAGCAGGAAGGAAAATGGTATAATCATTAAATGCGTTTAGACAGAGATTTATTCGGTATATAAGATACAATTACTGTTGAATGATGTGTGGGAGAGCTTGCAGAGATTTAACGCAATGAAATGGAAAGATGCCACATTCATAGAATATATCCACAAGGAAGCAGAAGCAGCACACTATTACTGCTGTTTGAACTATGGTTGAACAGTGTCTCCTGCATTCCCCAGGGATGCCTCTGAGGTTGTGCTCTGAAGCTATCTGCCCACACATAATGCGGCTCGTTCATTGTGGAGGAAGTACATGCGTGTAAACGTGTTTTCTGTGCTGGAAACATGGGGCTGAACTCTGAAACAACTTGCCTGTGCCCTAAACTTGCCCCATTGTGCTTTGCTGCAAGATGGCATGAGGGAAGCCGACGTGTGAGCCCTGGGGCTGGGCAGTGGGGAGCCGTCAGCCACAACAATACCT